TGGCATCGCTGCCTTGCCGGGTACTATGCCATAAAAAGGGGTGCTCATTGGTGTAATCATCCCAGCGAGTTGTAGTCCCATCTTCCTTAGAGTTTCTGAAAAAATGATATTGAGTCCAGCTCCCCCGTCGATTAGTACTTTTGTGATAGTCATACCAGCAATAGTTGGATCTAGAACCAGTGGGTAATGGCCTGCGTTTCCTACGTTAGTCCATTGGTCTTCTCTTGAAAATTGGATTAGATACTGTGACCAATTGAGATATCTTGGAGTAGCCGGTTCTGCTGCCATGATGGTTCGTAGTGCTAGCTTTTCTTGATGTTTGCTTCTGGAATCTAGAACCCCGGCGAAGATCACTGCTACTGTCCCCCTGGATTTTTGGAATCCCTTGTCTTCGTGGTTGTCTTCTTCTTTTTTCTGATTGTCTTCTTTAGTGCTTCCCTTACTATATTTTTTTGTGTATCGATCATTGAAGGTGTAGCAATCTCCGATGGTGTGATTTCCTTTAGGGTGCAAGATGCAACGCATGTTTTCAATGTCGTCATACCTTCTGGGTTTAGAAAACTTCCTTGATTTGCCAGTCACTGCTACGGTGTTGTCTGGTCCACATTTTCTTTCCTCATGTCTGTTGTTTCAATGATTTTGCTTGTCCGGGTTGTCTCAGTTGTTTCTATCCAGGAACCTTTCTCGTGTCTTTTCCTCTGCAGTAATCATCTTTTCTACTGTTCGTCTGAATTCTTCATTGTTTCTCAGGTTTTCTTTGTAGAAGTCTTGAAATTGCCACCTAGCCATGATTCCGTGAGAGAAAGCTTCGATTACTTCTCGTTCGGTGATGTCATGTACTTGAGCTCGTAGTTCGCCAAATCATCGATAGTAATTTCTGAGACTTTCACCTCCTTTTTGCTTGAGTCCTTTTAACTCTACGTGGGTGATTGGGTGTGTAATGATACCCGCGAAATTTTCACAGAAAGCTCTTTGCAAGTCCTCCCAATTTCTGATTGATCCTAGATTCAATTTGTCAAACCATTGAAGGGGCATGGTTTCTAGGGCCATGGGAAAGAACAAGGTCTTGATATCATTGTCTCCTCCGGCCAATTCAATCAATTGCGAGTAAATCCTGAGCCACTGCCTTGGTTCGGTCTTGCCATCATACTTGGAGTGGTTGGACGGCTTGAACTTATGAGGTAGTCATATTGAAGCAAGTCTATTTGCAAAACAGGGGAATCTATCGTGTGTTCTGGCTTCTGTGTATTCTGATTCAGCACCCCCTTCTTGCCAACTGTTGTCTTGGTGAGAGTAGTTCTGCGTGGCTGTCTGAATAGGTGCTTTGCTTCTGACCTTTCTTGGTCGTTTGACTCAGTCGTTTTGACTATGGTCCCTTCTACTTTCTCTGTTGTGACTTCCACTTGGTCCAAGTCTCTCGAAGGCGGACTTCCTTTGATTTTGATCTTCCTGCTCATGAGATGTTGACCTGGCAGGTAGTCTTGAGCGGGTCCTCCCGTCGTGCGTCCTTAGGACTGTTGATCGGAGAAAGTCCCGGAGCTGTTCTTGTTTTTCACTGGGATGTGAGGTCGCCCTGAGTTCTTCTAGTGCTTCTCGGATCTTATCGTAGGGTGTATTCGCCGCTCATCCTTCTTTGACCTCTCACTCTGATTTTCTTCTATTGTACTCGGCTAGCTCTGACTCATATCTGATCCAAGCTTCCTTGCGCTGCCTAGCATGGCGTTGACGTCCTTGTTTCAATTTGTTCTTTCTCTCTTTGGCTTGCCTCTGACTCTCAGTCTCACCATCGTGCCCCTGGGTAAAGGGTGATATGTTGGACTCAGATTCATTCGATGACCTGACGTCGGGCGCTTCTGGGGGGACCAATGGTGATCGAGGACGACGAACCATGAATACTTCTCATGCGTGAATTGCTCCGCTATCGGCGTCGGTTTCCACACTGTCGAAGTAGTTGATAACTTTAGTAGAGGCTTCAAGGTCGCAGATTGAGTCTCCTTCTTGGTAGGGTAGAATTGCTGTTGTCGTATTGCCGACTAGTTGGGTGCCGCTATCCTCAGGAACGAAACCTGGCCAGTGGACGATGCAGTCTTGAGATGTTATAGTTAACACGAGACCTTCCTGAGCTCCTTTCAGTGGCATTCTAAGCACCGGATCGAGGAATCCTTCGGGCCGTGTTTGATAAGACGTTGCCATGTTGTGGAGTCCGAACAGAAAAGGACCTGACTTCTTGAAAAGACTCTGAGTATACTCTGAGTTGTATTCTTGATAGGTCAAGGCTGCGTTCTTAAGCCCCATCAGAAAAGAACTCGGTTTTTTGGAAGAACTCGGGTAAGACTCCATTTCGGATGCGGAACCTGAGTTTGAGTCGGATGCGCAAAGTCACGAAATCTGAGTTGAATTGGACATCGCGAGTTGAGCGAATCTTCCAGCAAGTTGATCTATCATAGTCACCGAAATAGAATGGTCTTCATGGTGATCCGAATCTTCGAGGAGACGGCTTTGGAGCTTGCCATTGTCGCCTGCCTCGTAGATCCACAAACCGAAGATGAAGGTTGATCCCGTCGAGAAGATCATGTTGTCGAGGTTCGTTGAGCTCTCGGATGCAAAGTCGCCGAAAGCCCCTACCTGGTGCGCCAGCTGTCGATGTTTTACCACCGATAGCCTGCCACGGGGGTACCTGGGGCAGTATGTTCGGGCTTCAGCGTATGCGGAGCTCGACGGTTAACGCAAGAGACAGTCGATTTATCCTGGTTCGGATCCTCGATTGTTGATCGAGTAACAACCCTACGTCCGGTCGGCGTTAGCCTTTGTGTTGGATTGATTGTAAAGTGTTGTGTCGTGTCAAAATCGTGTCTCTAGGAACCCTGCCCTCCTTTATATAGTCAGGAGGTCAGAATCCTAGTCGGTTTACAATGAGAGTTCCTATTAGGATTACAGAATAATACTACTACTAAGATTATATGGGAAGAATCCTAATTAGACTAGATCTTCTCCCTTCCTTGTGGGATATCCCGTGGGTCCCGCACCGACACAGACATGGTGGGGGACATCGACGGACAGCGGAGCACCTTTGGAGTGCTCGTCCTCCTCGGGTCGGCTCCAATTTCATGACTATCGCTGAAACAGAAGGTGGTTGTGCTATCTACGTGCGAAGCAGAGTACGTAGCGGCGGCCACAGCGACATGCCAAGTTGTGTGGCTACGCCGGCTGCTGGATGAGCTGACCGGTGTAGAAGCTCACCCTCCAGCACTGATGGTGGACAACCAGCCCGCCATCGCCCTCGCGAAGAATTCGGTTCTCCACGACCGGAGCAAGCACATCGACGTGAAGTTCAACTTCCTCAGGGACTGTGTCGATGAAGGGCAGATCGTCATCAAGTTCGTCGAAACTGGTCGGCAACTCGTGGATGTCCTCACCAAGCCACTCGGACGTCTTCGACTCACGGAGCTGAAGGAGATGATCGGCATGGAGGAGGTACAATGGATAGCAGTAGGATTATGGGAAGAATTGCTAGATAATCTACTGCTTCCTTATGTGAACACACAGCAAGGGAAGACGGCACCAAAAAGGTCCCCTGCTGTGGTACTGTAGCCGCTGCAGAGGCAGGCGCCGAACGGCTCACCTGCCTCTCTGTAGCCACGGCAGGGACATGCGCAGAATTCAGTCCTGCTATGTTATTTAGTCATTGTTGTAGCAGGGCAGCTGTACTAATACTAGATGAGTATAGTTGTATATATAGTTTGCTACTGTAACTCAACAAAGAGAGTTCAGATTTGCCATCTCCTATACAGAGCTCCGGCCAACGCTGGTGCTTGTACTGTGTGTGTTCTATTCTCCCTTTCTTCCTCTACCTCTGGCCATAGTGTGTGGTCGGACAACGTCTGTCGTGCTCGGCCGTGGTCGGCAAAACTGGTGAGTGATCGACTCACCTGAGCCGATGATCTAGTGGGCTAACAAGCACACACTATTGCCAATGGGAAGGTGTCCTGTGCATGGCAAAGACTCCATTCCGTGTCATTTCTCTTGTTCTTGAAAGTCGAGGTTTAGTAGGGCAAGTCTCTCCTTCGCTTGGGAATTTAACTTACCTAAGAAATCTCACCCTGCCGAGCAATAGATTCACTGGGAAAATCCCTCCATCCTTGGGCCAGCTGCGTCACCTGCAAACGCTCTAATTGAGTAATAATACTCTACAGGGAACTATACCTGATTTTGCAAATTGCTCCAGTCTCAAGGTTTTGTGGCTGAATGGCAACAATCTAGTTGGACAGTTTCCAGGTTTGCCTCCTCAACTTCAAGAGCTACATCTTGGGCTTAATAATCTTACTGGGACTATCCCTTCTTCTATTTCAAATATCACAACACTATTAAGGTTTAGTTGCGCTTATAATAATATCAAGGGCAACATTCCCAATGAATTTGGAAGCTTCCCTAGCCTACAAACTCTGCTCATTAGTGTCAATCAGTTGTCAGGTAGGTTTCCACATGCCATCTTGAATCTTTCTACTCTTATTGCCCTTGGATTTGGTGGGAACCATTTAAATGGTGAGGTACCATATGATCTGGGTATCTCTCTGAACAATCTCCGAGTACTTCAATTGGATGGCAACTACTTTAAGGGCCATATACCATCATCATTGAGTAATGCTTCAAATCTTTTCGAGATTGATGTATCATCTAACAATTTTACAGGGGTAGTGCCCAGCTCTCTTGGCAAACTCAGTAAACTTTCCCTGTTGAATCTAGAGTTGAACAGATTCCAAGCACACAGCAAGCAAGACTGGGAGTTTTTGGATAACTTAGCCAACAGCACTAACCTACAAACTTTATCACTGGCAAAAAATCAGTTAGGAGGCCAGGTACCAATCTCAATAGGAAACCTTTCAGTTCAGCTTTAGCGACTATTTTTGGGAGATAATCAATTGTCTGGTGGTTTTCCTTTGGGCATAGCAAACCTACCCAACCTGAATACCCTAGGACTGGAGAAAAACCAATTTACAGGTATGGTTCCATTATGGGTTGGAACTCTCGAGAACTTGCAAGGAATAGACTTGGTGAAAAACAAGTTTACAGGGCCGATTCCATCTTCTCTTTTAAATTTATCTCAGTTAACAATGCTCCTTCTAGATTGGAACCAATTTAATGGAAAAATACATTTAAGTTTTGGAAACAATAAGATGCTTGAGACATTGAGGATTTCCAACAATAATCTTCATGGCATCGTACCAAATGAGATTTTCAGAATTCCAACAATCAGGCAAATTGATTTATCTGTTAATAACCTAGATGGGCAGCTTCCTACTGAAGTAGGCAATGCCAGACAACTGATTTCTTTACAACTTTCATCCAACAACTTATCTGGAGATATCCCTAACACATTGGGTGATTGTGAAAGTTTGGAGGAAATCAAGCTGGACCAAAATCTTTTTAGTGGAAGCATTCCCACTTCATTAGGCAACATAAAGAACCTAAAAGTTCTCAATTTATCTCACAATAACTTGACTGGATCGATACCAATGCCTCTCAGTAACCTACAACTATTGGAACAATTGGATTTGTCATTCAACCATCTTACGGGTGATGTCCCAACCAAAGGAATATTTCAGAATGTAACTGCTGTGCGAATTGATGGAAATCCAGGGCTTTGTGGTGGGGCATTAGAGTACCACCTGTTTGCATGTTCTCTGCCATTGAGTTCCTCTAAACAAAAGTATCTCATGCTGAAAGTAATGATCCCATTGGTTAGTGTGGTGTCACTTGCTATGGTCATATGTGGTCTATTGCTTTTTAGGCGAAAGCAAAATAGAGCATCTATCTCTATTTTGCCCTTGTTTGGAAGCAAATTTCCTCAAGTCTCTTACAGTGATCTTGCTAGGGCAATAGAGGGGGTTCTCTGCATCCAATTTAATAGGAAAAGGAAGATATTCTTCTGTATATCAAGGAAAATTGTTCCAAGATAGACTTGTTGTTGCTATCAAAGTTTTTAGTCTCGAGTCAAAGGGTGCACATAAGAGCTTCATCGCAGAATGTAGCACTCTGAGGAATGTGCAGCATCGCAATCTAGTACCTATCCTAACTGCATGCTCAAGTATTGACAACAAGGGAAATGATTTCAAGGCCTTGGTGTATGAGTTCATGCCACGAGGTGACTTGCATGCATTACTATACTTGAATCGAAATGATGCAAACACTTCAACTCCGAGCCACATTACATTGGCTCAGAGGTTAAACATTGTGGTGGATGTTGCCGATGCATTAGAGTATTTGCACCATAACAACCAAGGGACTATTATTCACTGCGATCTAAAGCCTAGCAACATTCTTTTGGATGATAACATGACGGCACATGTTGGAGACTTTGGTCTTGCAATGTTCAAAGTTGATTCTGCATTAGGTGACTCCATCTCAACTTCTTCGGTTGCTATAAAGGGAACAATTGGATATGTCGCGCCAGGTAATACAAATTTTTTCACATCCATATGTGGTCCCAGTGCCAAATTTTGGGCTAAATTCTTTTGTGTATGTCATCCACAGAATGTGCTTCAGGTCGAGATGTTTCAAGTAGTGGGGATGTTTATAGCTTTGGGATTGTTCTACTTGAAGTATTTTTACGGAAGAGGCCAACTGATGATATGTTCAATGATGGACTGAACATTGTAAAATTCGTTGAGGCAAACTTTCCTGATGGGATATTAAGGATTGTAGATCCAGAATTACTACAAGAGCAGCATGATTTCTCACGAGAAACTTCAGTGTCCATGAAGGAGAAGAGGTTAGAGTGTTTACTTTCAGTGATACACATTGGACTTGACTGCACTAAGGCATCCCCAGAACAGCGCATGGGCATGCAGGAAGTCGCTGCAAAGCTGCACGGAATCAAGGATGCATATCTGAAGCGAAACATGGGTAATATACTTGTTATTGCAGTAATAATATCATATTGTTCAACTGTTCTTTACATAATGTTATCACGATAAGTGCAGAGAACTGATGCAGAGCTTGCTCCTTTATTTGCAGATTCATCTGCTCAGTAGAACATGAAAAATATTGCTGTTCGATACAGTAGCTTATGGGATCAGGAATGCTCCACGTCTATTTCTGAGTTTTGTAGCTGATCTTAAGGGCCGTGAAGTTATAACAAAGTGGACAAGAAAGCTTTCTAAAATATACATATCAAGCACCTTCAGCTTAGCAGCCATGCAAGAAAGTTTAATAACATATTGTAATGGTATTTGAGATATTTGCATTTGTGAGCCATGTATATGGATCAAGTATTTGTATTTATTTGTGAGAGTCATATGTTAAATGTGTGAATACATATATAAAAACAATACCACAAGTATTTATGAGATTAATGTTTCAGAAATTAGTTTACAAAGAAATTAATTTCAGAAATTATATTTACATAGGAAATGTGGCACTTAATGTTTAATGTCAATGTGAGTTCATGTTAAATTTGAGACTTCTGTGACATTACCTTGTGTTCATATTTATATAATATTAATTTACCTATGTCGACGACCTCATCATCACCGGCACTAAAGAGCAGAAGGTGGAGATGTTCAAGGAGCAGATGAAGAAGGCGTTCGACATGAGTGACCTCGGCCTCCTCTGCTTCTACCTCGGCGTCAAAGTGCGCCAAGATGTCAATGGGATCGCCCTTCGCCAAATCCACCACGCCAAGCGCATCCTCGAGCTCGGTGGCATGACAGGCTGCAATCCGGCCCACAACCTGATGGAGGAGAAGCTCAAGATGAGTCGGGATAGTTCGGCGGAGGAGGTCGATCCAACCCATTACCGGTAGCTGATCGGCAGCTTGCGCTACTTGGTCCACACCCGGCCGGACCTCGCGTTCGCCGTTGGGTACATGAGTCGGTTCATGGAGCGGTCGATGATGGAGCATCTACAGACCGTCAAGCGAATCTTGCGCTACATGGTGGGCACCCTCGGCTACGGTCTTCACTACGGAAGGGCCGCCGACACGGCACGTTTCATCGGCTACTGCAACAGCGACCTCGCCGGTGACGTGGACACCAGCAAGAGCACAACCGGGACGATGTTCTTCCTCGGTGATTACTTGGTTAGCTGGCAGTCCCTCTTACAGAAGGTGGTGGCCCTCTCAAGCTGTGAAGTGGAGTACTACAGCAACTCAGGCAATATGGCTGTCAAGCATGCTGGTAGAGCTCCTTGGCATGAAGGTGGATGTGGTTGAGCGGAAGGTAGATATCAAGTCTGCTTTAGCTCTGGCCAAAACCCCCGTCTTACATGAAAGAAGCAAGCACATCTGTATCAAGTATCACTTCATCAGGACTGCTCGGAGGATGTGAGCATCATGGCCGACCACATTCTCATTGCTGATCAGCTGGCTGACATTCTCACCAAGTTGCTAGGGAAGTCCAAATTCCAAGAGATGAGGGAGAGGATTGGACTACAACAGATCACCTCTAGTGCTCGACACAAGGCTTATGGGGAGAAATATTAGATAAGTCTAGTGCAAAAGCACTTGTATCTTACTTTTGTGTATTTTTTATTTTCCTTGGCTTCCAAATCTAGTATTAGAAATATGCTCATCATTCACTTTAGTGGTTAGAACATGCTTGAGCAAGCGGGGAGGCCATTTGTCTATAAAAGCAGGGGCAGTGTCATTGTAAAAACTAATCCATTGAATTTCCTTCAATACAAGCGGCCAAGGGCAAGCTGTTCTCTGTTTCTAAATTTGAATCTAAGATCTATTTGGGTCAACAAGATACCCAGTCTTGCAAATTGTTCCAGACTCGAAGTATTGGGGCAGTACAATAATCAACTCGATGGAGAGATACCTGCAGATTTGCCTCATGGTCTTCAACAGCTGATACTTGGGACTAATAATCTTACTGAACCATTTCTGATTCTCTTGCCAACATCACAGCACTATATAAGTTTGGTTTTGAAAGCAACAGCATTAAAGGGAGCATCCCAAGTGAGTTTTCAAAGTTGCCAGGGCTGCAATATCTGTACATGGGTGGAAACAAGTTTTCAGGCAGTTTTCCACAGCCCGTCCTGAATCTTTCTAGACTAATTGTATTGAATGCTGCTGACAATTATCTAAGCGGATATTTACCACCAGATATTGGCAACTCTCTTTCCCCTACCTTGAAATGCTCGCGTTAGGCGCCAACTATTTCCTTAGGCGTATCCCACCTTCTTTCACAAATATTTCCAAGCTGTACTTTTGCGATATATCAAGGAATAAGCTCACCGGAGTTGTGCCTAGCTCCATCGGCAAACTTTCTAAATTAACTTGGTTAAATCTTGAGGTAAACAAACTACAAGCAAGTAACAATAAAGACTGGGAATTTATGAAGAGTTTAGCAAATTGCACTGAGCTACAAGTGTTCCCACTATCGATGAATCTGCTAGAAGGCAATGTACCAAATTCAGTGGGCAACCTTTCCAGTCAACTCCTGTTTCTACAATTGGAATATAATCAACTGTCAGGGGAGTTTCCTTCTGGTATAGCAAACCTTCACAAACTGATGATATGTTCAATGATGGACTGAACATTGTAAAATTCGTCGAGGCAAACTTTCCTATAGGATATTAAGGATTGTAGATCCTGAATTACTACAAGAGCAGCATGATTTCGCACGAGAAACTTCAGTGTCCATGAAGGAGAAGAGCTTAGAGTGTTTACTTTCAGTGATACACATTGGACTTGACTGCACTAAGGCATCCCCAGAAGAGCGCATGGGCATGCAGGAAGTGACTGCAAAGCTGCACGGAATCAAGGATGCATATCTGAAGCGAAACATGGGTAATATACTTGCTAATTATTCCAGTAATAATATCATATTGTTCAACTGTTCTTTACATAATGATTATCACGATAAGTGCAGAGAACTGATGCAGAGCTGGCTCCTTTATTTGCAGATTCATCTGCTCAGTAGAACATGAAAAATATTGCTGTTCGATACAGTAGCTTATGGGATCAGGAATGCTCCACGTCTATTTCTGCGTTTTGTAGTTGATCTTAAGGGCCGTGAAGTTATAACAAAGTGGACAAGAAAGCTTTCTAAAATATACATATCAAGCGCCTTCAGCTTAGCAGCCATGCAAGAAAGTTTAATAACATATTGTAATGTTATTTGAGATATTTGCATTTGTGAGCCATGTATATGGATAAAGTATTTGTATTTATTTGTGAGAGTCATATGTTAAATGTGTGAATACATATATAAAAACAATACCACAAGTATTTATGAGATTAATGTTTCAGAAATTAGTTTACAAAGAAATTAATTTCAGAAATTATATTTACATAGGAAATGTGGCACTTAATGTTTAATGTCAATGTGAGTTCATGTTAAATTTGAGACTTCTGTGACATTACCTTGTGTTCATATTTATATAATATTACTTTATATAGTTTTCAGAAACAGAAGGATACTATGTTTAATATGCAAAAATTTAAGGGGATAGAGAATGAAAAAAACATAAGTATTTAATATAGAAAATTGAAAACATTATCTTTTTTATATTACTATTGAATATAAGGGGAAACATAAGGACCGTATCGAGGATGTTTGTATCTCAGGGCAAACTAAATGAACAAACAGTTTAGTGATTATAGTAATATTTGAATAAGATGCATTCTGAAAACTTTCAACTTATCCTGATGAAGTTTTTAAGTTCAGCTCAGATAGAATGTGTATGCCGTTGCTGTCAAGCGATACCCATACTGTATGTTTTAGACTTTCAACTTTCAAGCTCTGGGAGATACTACTCTGAAAAGGCAAAGGCGTGGAATGTGTTTGCTAGTTTTTTCGACATGTATTTGGCATTTTGCTGAAGATGCTTATGCTGAAGAAGAATAGTTTCAAATTGGGACTTTTGCTGCGTAAGTGCGTAACAGGGTTGTGAGAATTGGGCCGTCAGTGCATCCCAAGCCTGAGTCGCTATTGTTGTGGTCAACGAGGCCCAGTGCCCTTCTCTGCTGGGCCAGGGAGAGGAGGAGACCTCCCTACCCTAATCAGCGTGCATGGCGAATATAGCCTCCGGCGCTACCGCCCGCTCATCTATGATGCTGATGCTGAGCTCCACCTCTGATGATTTGTTTGTTGCTAGTGGTTGGTAATCTACCACTAACTAGTGGTTGTTTTGCCATGTTCGCTTCGGTGAAAAACAATGGATGATTAGTTTGTAACCTATATTTTTTTAATATGTTATTTTAATACTATGACAGTAGTATACAAAATAAGTATAACTATATACTCAGTGTGTACTTACATACTTGATATACATACTACCATAGATGGTCTAGTATGATCATATACTTCGTCAACGTATATTTCGTCGGGCCATATACACCTTAAATCTAAAAATATAGACATGAGAGTAACTACTCCCTAAAAATAGAAAATAATGTTCCATATATATATATATATATATATATATATATATAGATTCCCAAACTCGCCTTTGATATATATATATATCAAAGGCGAGCTTGGGAATCTACCTCGTAGTGGTTGTTTGTAGGCGTTCCTCAGCTAGGAGTGTGGTGTGGCTTTCACAACTTTTTGTTTGGGATTTTTCCCTTGAGCGTGCTTGTGTATATACTATCCCACGTCTTCACATAACTGTCGGTTCAAAAAAATCCTTCACTGTTGGATTTTAAACCGACAGTGGTATATCGATAGTGATGTGGGATTAACATCACTGTCGGTTCTTATGAACCAACAGTGATGTGGTTTTCAGCAAATTCAAAAAACAAGCTGAAAAAATAGAAAAGAATTTTTAATTCTAGGAGAGGCCTCATTAGACAGTCACACGGTCGCATGTCACAAGTTACATGATTTTTCGTGCGACAAACACACGCTTCGCGGCCACCAGCACTTGAACCCTAACCTCTTGCTTCGCATCTTCAGCCCCTAACCACTCCACCTACAAGTTGTTTGTATCCGAATGAGATTTTCGTCCTAAACATTTTATGTTTATC